TTCTTTCTTTCTTTCTTTCTTTCTTTCTTTCTTTCTTTCTTTCTTTCTTTCTTTCTTTCTTTCTTTCTTTCTTTCCCCAGAGGTATGGAAAGGTCTTAAAGATGCTGACCAAATGAAAGGGGCCCAGGAGGCCTGGCTGTGGTAAAGACCGTGGGCCACCAGGGGCAAGCATAGTTGCTGACCACAAAGGGGTACCTACCACTGGGGTTTGGAAACAAAGACAATTTAATACTAAATTGCTGTCAGCGGCTGTACCTGTTCTCTGTGTAGAGATACCTATGGGTTTAACAGGGGTGTTCACCGTTTGGGAATTCTGGATCCTGGCCATCTGTTTCTTTGTACCACAAAATTTAAGTGATCAAAACAGACCACTACTGATTGCTGGAAAATCAATGCAAAACATATACCACACCCGTTGTAGTAGAACCACTTCATTTCTTCAATCCTTCCCATGAATGTTTTATTTTAGATCCTCAGATCTCTTGCCTGGACCAAGGCTATCTCGTTAGGTGTGCAGGTCTTTTCCTCTCTAGATAAAACAGAGTCAACCCCTTTTATTTTATTTAAAAATCATTACCTTTGCGGGTTTTATCATTAATAGTAGAAGTAATACGTGTTCATTAAAAAATACAGGCAATAAATATTGACAAGAAAAGATGAAAATTCTTCTAACCTTACTCTGTCCTCTCACTGAAAGTAGCCATAGTTCATGATTTATTTTGTATCCTTCCATACATTTTCCTGTGTACATACAACCACATACACAGATGTGAACACATGCACACATTCATATAAATACACATACACTTTGGTACATAATATTTGGCAACTTGATCTTCTCAACAATACATGGAGAGATCTTTCCATGTCAACGCACATCAGCCTACCTTTTAGTTTCAAAAGCTGTGAAATAGTCCATTTATTTTATGTATTTACTGATATTTATTTAACTAATCTTATTGATGAACATTTAATTTTTCACTGTTACTGACTTGGGCTTCAATGAATAGGCTTTTATGTGTATGTATGTACACTATTTCGGGGGCTTTTAAATGCCCACTGATCATTATTGTCCAATCCATAATATTTAAAAGAATTTAAAAATATTTTCTAAATAACAAATGTACAGTTAGAAGAAAAAACAAAACCATAACTTTAGGTTTTTAATGAAAAAGAGCAGCCCTGCTTCTCCACCCAGTACATTACTGGTTTTAGTTTCTCAGATACAACTTCTTTCAACTCTGTTATCTGAACTGTGATCTCATGTGTTGTACAATCATTGCTTTCTCTAGAATTATTGTTTTGTTTGTTTTCTTGATTTTCCATGTATCACATATTCACTCCAAACTTACCAATAGAACTAAAAAATCTTCTTTTTAAATTTTCAGACTCTTTGATCAACTCAATATTTATTTTTATTTTTTGTGAAAATCACTTCTATAGAGTTTTTTTTTTTTCCTAGTCAAGAATCTTTACTTTTCCCCTAGTTTGGCTGCACAAATCTCGGTGGTCCTGTTGAAACGTCCATTCATATCAACCTCAGGAATCGTCTTGCTTCCTGTCAGTATTGCATTTCTCCTTCTTCAATTTTGTATTTTTTCTCTTGATTATCATCATATTCATAGCATCTTAATACCTTCACAGAGTAGCATTCACATATTTGTCAACTGAGAGAACAAATAAAAATGTAATTGAATTAACATCTTACTTCAAGGCTAGACATTAGTTGAGTTTCAAAAAAAAAAAAATACATATCCACTAGGAATTCCATGAACCCCCCAGAGAATAACCTTGAGATACTGGTAACAAGAAAGCACACATGTGAGCGGCACAGTCTGGCTTAACAGTAGACTACATAGCAGTAGAAGTGTAACTGCTACTAACTGGTCTTTGCAGGAATTCGGCCTCCTGCCCTTGGCCTCATTAACTCCCTATTCTGTCCAACTGAGCCAACTAGCCATAGGCATGCAGCTCATGAAATAGCCTGGAAAAGCTGGCCCCATATCATAGCCTCTGGCTTTAGGCCCTAATGAGGATTGCTATTGTCCTTGAATTTAGTCCAATTCCTCCCAGCAGGCTGCCCTTTAAGGACGTGTCTTATCAGCAGTCACTGACCCAACAAGGTAAGGGGGGGTCCTGCTATCATAAGGACTCTCTATGTGTTTTGTCCAGACCAATTTACTATTGCAACCCACCTTCACTCAGTAGAGGTTTGCTCTAAGCTCCCAGAGGTTAAGGTCAAGCTTTCTTCAAAAGTCTTTCTTCCAAAACCTTAAATCATTTATTTGTTTGCCTTCCACTGCACTTTTTCAAGCTCAGTCAGCATTAGCCTTTCCTTGCCCACAGTTCAGAACTGCAGGGACCTTGCTGAGCACAGGCTGTGGAAGCCTTCCATTCCTTCTTTGACTCAGATTTTCATCAGCTAGCAGCTCCCAAGTAAAAGCTGTTTTCTCTGGCTGCCACTGTGTATTTCACAATTTCTGGCTGTTGGGGTTGGCTGCTTTGGGTTACACAGACATGGAAACCACACAGAGGATAGGTGGAGGCGAGAGGCATCTTTAACAAGGGCTGTAAGGGCAACTGTGAAGAGGTAGGAAGCAGCCTAGCGTGGGGACTGCTTGGAGTAGATTTGTTACCAGTTTCAAAGGTGGGAGATTTTCCATTAAAAATATGTTGACTTTCCCTTCTTGAGGACCTACTCTGTGCCAATCCTATGTATATATGATCTCATTGAACTTTTAATATAAACCCATAAGATAGGAAAACGAGGCATCAGAGGTTGACTTGCCCAAGGTCACATGACTAATAAGTGGCCTAGCTGGGATTTAAACTCAGATCTGACTCTCTCCAAGGGCTATGTTTATTCTCAAATACGGCAGGTTGACCAGAGACAGGAAAAAAATTAATCCCTTCAGAAGTGGGGTCTAATTTCCTTCTTCCAGTGGTTAAATAAGGTACCTCACTGGGCCTCTCTTTTAGCAAGGGCTTGCTCCACAGTTACTGCTTCTCCAAGGTCTGCCTTGGTGTCAAAACCTGAACTCCAGAGAGATGTGAAACCCACGGGTGGGACAGGTATTAGGAATAGGTCCTGGTTTTCCAAGAAGCTCCCAGAATGTGGGACCTGAGTGCTAAAACAAGGAAAGTCCTGGGAAAACCAGGGCAAGGTGATCACCCTGTGGCACAATGAATGGGGTATACCACTCCCGATGTTCCCAGTGGGTTGGTCAGATCTTCCTTTGACCTCTGATCTGCATCATAGTCCCATTTCTCCCTCTGTCCAATCCTGATTTACTCCCTCCTTTTCATAGGTGGTGATAACCAATAAGAACCCTGCACACCAGATTCTACCTAACCTCTTCTTCTAGGGCCCTTCCTGCCAGCACCCCCATCATAGCACTTTAGTGCCCTGGAGGGATACAGAAGAATCTCAACAACAAAGAGCCCTGGGTTGAAAGGAGAATGGTATGTGGGAGAGGACTGGGGCGGGGGATTTGACATTTTCACTCTCAGACCCAGAGATTATCCAACTTTCCGAGGGCACAGGAACAGGCGGATGATATTCTGACTCGCTAACCTCTCATTGGTTAAGAGAGAGGTAACCAGAGACTTCTGGAAGAGTGCCAGGAAATAGGCATCACCAATTTTGCAGTCATTTCTACAAAAATCTCTCTCTCTCCTTTGTGGGTATGTTCTTGTTACCCTCTAGCTTCAGGTGCTTGGCTGTGCTTTTCTTTTCTAATCCTTCCTGGGCTTTTCATTGTGGCTACATTTCAGTGAGGATATTTTATAACTGATTGAAAGGCTCTCTATATTCAGCTTCCTTAATTAAAAATGGATTTTGGTGAGGATGCACTTTTTTTAGTTGAAAAGAAATCCTACTCCTAGATATGATCTTTATTTTTAACTATAAAGAAAAGATGGTCCCTTTCCGCTAGGAAAAATCCACCTTCAAGTTCCAGAGTGATCCTTATATATCCAACCTGTTCAGGTGTACATCGAGGGGGCACATGTCTTTTTACCACTTCTTGAAGTTGCCAAGGCAAGATGGTTTAGGATGGGTATTGGGACAGGAAGACAGATGGTAGCTGAGGAGTCATCTCTGATGGTCACAGTCCTCTATATGTGACAGCTCTGCCACATTCACATCACATACTTCTTTACACTTCATCACACCTGTTCACACCTAGCAGCATTGATGAATCTATTAACAGCCTCCTTTTGGTGCTCACACATCACTTTGCATCAAACTGGCCATTCTTTTGACAGGAGCTGACGTTTACCATCCCTGTTGGATACTTTCCAAAGAATGAATCAAACTACAATCAAACTTGACTGCAAAATCATTGAGAAGATGAGTAGGGGCCACAAACATTTCACATGGCAAGTAGAAGTGAAATCTCCGTTGTTTATTTGAATGTGACAGGACAGTGCACTGTGAGGGGTGCTGACTGCCACTGGCTAGGCATTGGGCCTTGGGAAAAGGAGACTCCCTCTAAATTTTGAGTCATCATTAGAAGAATGCAGACAATAACACACGTTAGGATCTTCACCTCACAGGATTATTGAAGATCAAATGATACGCTGTGTGTGAAAGCACATTGCCAAATGACACCCAGCTATTTCAATGCACAGTATTTTAACACACAGAATCATCATCACTATCACCACCATCACCACCACCATAAAACAGAGCAGAATCGACAATAATCAGTTGATGAAGAAACTTATCAGAAAGACTTACAAAAATTTTTAAAAACAGTAGTAAGGGCCATTATGTGTAACACAGTCAAATAGAAATGAGTTTTATGGAGAGATTATTCTATAAAGGGAACTTCTTACCTACTTTTGGACAATCCAGACCCCAAGAGCTTGGTTGAAATACTGGTGCAGGAACCTGTTCTTAAAAACTGGTCCACAGGCTAATGGCATTCTGGCACTTCTTCAAAGTCTTTGGAGGAGTTATGGTCTTCAAACACCTAATTATGAAAAACTTCAAACATACAAAAAAGATGAAAGAGTTGCACAGTAGGCAGTCATAAGTTTGCCATCCAGATTTCCATTAATATTTTACCATACTTTGCATCAACTCATCTTAATTTTTTGATACATTACACAGTCAGTTGTCAGCATCAGTATTTTTGTCTCCAGAATAGAGAACACAGAAATAGACCTATGAACTTTTGGACTAATATGTGTGTGACAAAGGTATAAAGGCAGATTGGTGGATAAAGCACAATTTTTAACATTGGTGCTAGAACAATTGGATCTCTATATGATTAAAAAAAAAAAAGAACATGTCAATCCTTACTTTGCACCACACAGAAATTAAGGTGGAATGAGTTATAAACCTAGGTGTAAAATATAAAAAAAAATCTTTTAGAGGAAAAAGTAAGTGAAGATTTTTATGACTTGGATTAACAATGATTCCTTCCATATGGCACCAAAAGCATTGTCTGTAACATTAAACATTGATAAATAGGACTTCATGGAAAATTAAAACTCTTGCTCTTTGAAAAATCCTGTCAGAAAATAAAACAAGAGGCCATAGGGGGAAAATTTCAAATCATATAAATTTCATAAAGTATCTTTATTCAGGAAACATGGAGCTCTTAAAAATCAACAATAAGAAAACAACCTAAATCAAACACAGCAAAGGAAATGGAAAATAAAACAAAAATGAGCGAATACTGCAGACCTAGTGGGGGACTAAAACTGAAAGAGTAACAATCTCAAAGGCTGGTGAGGATGTAGAGCAACAGGGGCTGCCATTCATTGCTGGTGGGAATGCAAAATGGTAGAGCCACTCTGGAGAATAATTTGGTAGTTATTTTTTTATGTAAACATAGGCTTACTTAATATGTAATCCCAAACTGTACTCCCAGGTATTTATTCAATTGATTTGAAACACACACACACACACACACACACACACACACACACACAACAGAAAAACCCTATATATGAGTGCTTTTAGTATGTTTATCCATACTTGCTCAAAAATGAAAGCAACTAAGATATACTTCAACAGGTAAAAAGATAAGCAAATGGTAGTACATCTACATAATAATGAACTGTTATTCAGTAATAAGAAGAACTGAACTATCACACAACCTGAATGAATCATAAAAACATTTTACTATGGTGAAAGAAGCAGCTTCCAAAGATTCTGTACTAGCCAAGGTTCTCCAAAGAAACAGAACCATATTGATAAGACACACAAACACACACACACACACACACACACACACACACACATTGGAGGGATGTATAATGGTGTGATGGTTTGGATCTGAAATGTCCACCAAAGGCTCATGTGTTGAAGGCTTGATTCCCCAATGCAACAGTGCTTAGAGGTGGGCTCTTGGGAACTGATTGGATCATGATGGCTCTGACCTTGGGAATGCATTAATCCACTGATGTGTTTGTAGCTGATGGCATTATTGGGAAGTGGTGGATACTTAGGAGGAAGGGCCTAGTTGGAAGAAATAGGTCATGGAGGTGTGCTCTGAAAGGGTATTTCTTGTCCCTGACTCCTTCCTCACACTCTTGCTCTCTTTCTCTCTTTTTTTCCTGGCCACCCTAACGTGAGCCACTTTGCTCTTCCATGCTTTCTGCCATGATGCTCTGTCTCCCGGCAGGTCTGGAAACAATGGATTTAACTGACTATAGACTGAAACCGTGCAACTGTGAACCAAAATAAATCTCTCCTTCTCCAAGTTTATTTTCTCAGGTAGTTTGTCACAATGATGAAAAACTAACATATATGAGAACCAACTCATGTAAGACTGGAGGCAAAGAAATACCGTGATATGCCATCTGTATGCTGGAGAACCAGAAAACTGGTGGTGTAATCTCGTTCAAGTCCCAAAATCTGAGTACTAGGAGGAGTTGATGACATAACTTTCAGTCTGAGCTGGAGGCCTGAGAACAGTGGGCAGGAGGACCATGGGTGTATGACCCCCCAAAGTCCAAAGGAAAAATAGATGTCTTGCTGAAAAAGAATGATTTCACCATTCTGCCTTGTTATCCTGTCTGTACTCTCAATAGATTGGATATTGCCTGCCCAAATTGGTGAGGGTGATCTTTTATACTTAGTCTACTGATTCCAATGCTAATTTCTGCTAGAAAAACCCTCACAGACACACTCAGAAATAAGGTTTTACTAGTAATCTGAGCATTCCTTTGCCCAGTTAAATTGAAGAAAAAATTAACCATCCATCTATATAGTATATGATACCCTTCATTTGACATTCTGGAAAAGACTAAGAGAAGTAGCTTTTTTAATATGTATTTTTTAGTTGTAGATGGACACAATACCTTTGTTTCATTTTTATGTGGGGCTGAGGATCAAACCCAGGGCCTTATATGTGCCAGGTGAGTGCTCTACCACTGAGCCCCAGTCCCAGCCTGAGAAGTAGCTTATTTGAGGTCACACAGCTAGCAAGTGTTGGAGCTGGGATTCAGAGCAGGCAGTTTATCCCATTTAGACAGATACAATTTACTATGCTGCATCTAAGAGAAAGAAGGAGAGAAAATGAAAGAAAGTTGAGTGATTGACAGGCTAGAGCCTATGGAGCAAGAAAAAGAAAGTGTTGAGCAAAGAATGTGTTGTGATATGCAGCTCTGAGCATGGCAGGAAGCTGTGGGAAGGAGAGATGAGGGCATGGAGCATCCCAATTTGGCAGGCAGTAGAGTGGAGAGGTGCAGCTTATTTTTAGCAAGAGTAGCTCAGCAGCAGCACAGACAGCAAAAGAAGAAATGCAAAAGTTGATACTGACAGACAAGACCTAGATGTGGCTGATGGAGTGCAGACTATGATCGCAGGTGTCTGAAAGCAAGAAGGCCACCACATATACTTCAGATTTTTTTAAATGCAGCTTCATAGATTACTTAAGAACAGCAATACCACAGAAGTTTTGTCAAATGGGAGATACAAACTTGCACTACTATTTCTGTGCAAAATTCTAACACTTGCTCTGAGACAGCCATGAGTACCACCAAGGCAAGTTTGTGTTGCATAAACCACTGATAAGAGCCACTAAGGTGCAAAATCCAAATCACCTTTTGTCAGTAAAATGTCTTCCTTAGTACCTGTGCAAGAAGAGGGCCTCCTCTGTATTCAACCATGTTTGTTTGAATCTAATGCTTTGTTTAAATTTAAGAGAAACATACAAATGGATTCTTCACTCTGCTATCTGCTCTAACTTTCCTTTGCTGCCTCCTCCCTCCCTTAGGAATTGGCATGAAAGTTTGTTTAGATGAAATTTTGTCATTCTATCTCAAGAATGAATTTCTGGGATAGGAAGGATTAGGAAGGATTTTGCATCCATCATCTTCTAAATTAGGGCTCCCTCTAGGCCTGTGGGGTAGGCATTTGGCCAGCTTTGCAACATCCTGTAATCCAGACCAGAGAGGGGGTCCCCTGTTGCACCTGGCGGGTAAAATTTTGAAGACTGGAATGAACTAACATGTTTCTTTTCCCTTTCACTTGTCATCCTTCTCATTATTTAATCCTTATTCTTCACATCTAGGCAGTCACAGAAAGAGATCTCTTTCGGGTCACTATTGATTTGCCAAATCCATCTACCTCCTCTTGGTCCTCAAGCTCTGTAATATCTAGGCTGTGCTTCCCACCAGCTTTCTTTCTCTTTCATTCCTTTCCTCCTTCCTTTCTCTCTCTTTCTATTTTTGAAATTTCAAAACAATTATATTTATTTTTAACTGAGAAATAAAAATTATGCATATTTATGGGATGTCACATGATATTTTAATACATATATCAATTGTGTAACATTTAAATCAAATTACATCTAGTTAAACACTTTTCTTTTATTTATTTATTTATTTATTTATTTTTGCATTACAATTCTTAATACACCTTTATATCACAATTTATCATATCTGATTGTATATAAGGTATGTTGACACCAAATTCACATCTTCATACATGTATTTTGTATAATGATGAGGGTCTCCTTTCACCATCCACACTATTTCCCTTCTCCCTCCCTTTCCCTCCCACCCCTATTCCCTATCTAGAGGTAATCTTTCTTCCTTGCTCTCCCTCCCAACCCCATTTTGAATCACCCCCCTCCCCACTTTATATCAGAGAAGACATTCGGCATTTGTTTTTATGGGATTGGCTAACACTTTTCTCAGAGTGCAGTTATCTGGTGTACTGATTTCATTTTCTTTTGTTCTATACATTATATGGAAGAGCTGGATCATATGGTAGCTCTATTTTTAATATTTTGAGGAATATTATGTACTGTTTTCCATAGTGGCCCTATAATCTGCATTCCTACCAACAGTGTCTAAGGGTTCCCTTTTCTGTACATCTTGCCTAGACCTGTTATCTTTGATCTTTTTCATTATAGGTATTGGAGTGAGGTGATAGTGCATTGGGGTTTTGTTCTGCATTTCCCTAATGATTAGTGATGATGATGTACCTCTTGACCATTTGTCTGTCTTCTCTTGAGAAATGTCTATTTAGGTCTTATGTCCATTTTAATATCAGGTCATTTGGGCTGGGGTTGTGGCTCAGTGGTGGAGCACTTGCCTAGCACATGTGAGTCACTAGGTTTGATTCTCAGTACCACATATAAATAAATGAATAAAATAAAGGTTCATCAACAACTAAAAAAATATCTAAAAAAAATCAGGTCATTTGTTTTTTGCTTTTGAGTGTTTTGAGCCTTTTTTTTTTTTAACATGTTCTGGATACTAATCCTTTGTCAGCTGTATAGTTTACATGTATTTTCTCCCATTTTGTAGGTTGCCTCTGCATTTTCTTGTTTCTTTTGCCAAGCAGAAACTTTTTAGTTTGACGTAATTAATTCATCTATTTTTACTTTTGTTTTCTATGCTTTGGGGATCTTGTCCAAAAAAATCTTTGCTCATTCCAAGATCCTGAAGCATTTCCTCTAATGTTTTTTTCTGATAGTTTCATGATTCCAGGACTTGTCTTGAAAACTTTAATCCA